CTGAGAAACTCAGAAGAAACTGAATCCAGCACAAGAGTATTGAAAAAGCAGATGAGACAAGTGAAGAATCCTTTTGGGTTAGAAATCCCTCATCCTGCTACAGCTTCAGTAACAAGTCAGTGGATTTCTGTGGTGCTTGATTTTTGTCCATTTGGGTTCCTGAGCTTAGTACTTCCTCTTTTCTTGCTCCCACCCTTTTCCTTTATAAAAATTCCTTATCAGAAAAATGCTTACTCCCATCATTACAACAGAAATTATTCTTACACAGCTTATAAATGTGGTGGTTTTAAAAGTTAAATGCTTGGATATTTAAGTGCAGTTTAATTCTTACTAATGAGACGCTTCCTGCTGTAGCAGATTTTTAAGCAACAGAAACATTTGCAGATTACCAGCTACCGTGGGTGTTTTTGTAAACTTCACAGAATTGTTGAATTCTATAGAATTCATTAGAGAATATATTCCACCCACTTAAATCTACTTCCAGGTCTCCAGTGGTGGTTGCAAGCATGCTATTTTTAATAAATAAATTTTTAAAATCTGCCTCTTTCTGTCTGTTCTTCAGTGGAAACTGAATATAATATTTGGATCAAGGCTCAGGTGGCCCCTAACATCCTTGAAGTCACCCACGCAGGAAGGGAAATTCATGCCCTTCTGCATCTTTGGGGAATAATAAGAAAGGTTTGAGCATCTTGCACCCACACAGATCTGGAGCCTTCCCATGACTGAGAAAAAGGCTGCAGCACTTTTACCCCTCCCTCAGCAACAACAAAAAAGCAACCACAAAACAACAAGCCAAACAACTTAGTCTTCAGGTCACTTGGATTTTTCAGGCAGTTTTTGAGCACTTGAACTTGGTGGGACTTTCCAGTTCTGCTCCTGATTGTGCAGTAAGTGTTTAGAAGTTAATGGGCTGGGTACTTGATTTTTAGGAAGGAGATGGAGTGCATAGATCCTCTTTTTATCCTCTCTCTGCATGATCAAGAGGGCCTCGTTCTTTGAGACCACAGAGTGTTGTAGGACAGGGGTCTAATTAATACCATTATCTAAGGAGGGAATGGACTTTGGGCTCGGGGCTGTGCTCTTGGCTCTGCCAGTGAGTGTGCAAAACGTTAGCAGAAGTTAAAATTTACCCTTCATAAAACACACGTGCTGTTTTTGTTAGATTAATTGGCCATTTTATCTCCCTGCACCCACTTCCTCATCTTCACTGACGTAAGCCATAAACTCAGTCTAAATTCTTAGAAGATTAGATTTTAAGGGTAAAAATCTGAGACACTGAAGTTGTTCTCAGCTTGTTGCCCTCTAAGAACCTACACTTAGCAATTCCAGAATTCCTGCATGTAGCTGAGTTACTAAAATCTTGATCTTCTTTCTACAAGAGGGTGTAAGGCTGAGACCTGATTGCCTGGAAGACTGTGTCCTCACGTGCTACTGGGGCTGCAGCGTTCAGAAGCTGCACGAAGCGCTGCAGAAGCACGTCTACTGCTTCAGAATAAAGACTCCTCAGGCACTGGAGGATGCTCTGTACAGTGAATACCTCTCTCGACAGCAGTACTTGTATCCTTTCCCCACGTTGTTGTGACAAACTATGCTAATTTCTTGGCCCAGGGGGTGTTGAGACTCACGAACATTCCGCGGTTCTTGGCACAGTGTTTATGATCCAATGTGATGGCAGCTAGTCTTTATGCAAATGTCATGTTTCTCTCCCAATTGGAGGGACACTGGTTGTTTTCCTTGACAGGCACAAAGCATTAAAAAAAATGACAAGGAAGAAAAATATTGTCAGTTACCAGAAGATGCTCAAGTTGTTGATTTTGGCCCAGTGCCTCGGTCTCACTACCCATTGATAGCATTGCTGACGTTAGCTGATGAGGAAGACAGAGAAATATATGATATTGTAAGTAATGAAGGAATATGTTTTAGGGTCGCTGTATTTAAGGTCTGAATGTTAAAGGGGATAGGCTTGAATAAAGCAGCTTCCTTTCCCTGAGCCCTGAAATTTACTCCCTGACTCTGTCACTGATGACTCCATGGGAGCATGGCAGAAGAGCAAGGGTGGTTGTTCTATAAAAGTTACATGTGCCATTCAGAAGCTGATGATGATTTTCACAGAGCTCATACCTGCAAAGGTCTCTGTGCTAGGTCCTGTGGTCAGATGAATGAGGGATGTGGTAGGTTCATAAGCTCTTACTCTCATTTTCCTGATCACATAAACCTGTGCTGGAGCTCTTGCACCGATACGGTCTTTTGGATTGCTCTTGGCAAGGTGGGAGGATGGTTTTTTTTGTGACTGTACAGATATTTGAGCTGATTGCTGACTTAACTGTTAGGAACATAGAAATTCCCTTTCTGCAGCAGGCCTGAGCCTGTGTAATGCAGTACTTAAGTCTCAAGGTAACCAGCTCCAGGTCATTCACAGGAAGGTGTGAAGGTCTTGCAGTAGACTGAGAGAAGATACTCAGCTCTCCCAAAAGACTTCTAATCTCCAGTAAAAGCAGCTTCAGCCTTGTCACATGCAGTTCAATAGCCCTTCTAAACTCCAAACTGGCTGATTGTTTTTGGAACAATTTGGAACAGGCTTTTATCTCCCATCTTTTTGTTTGGCTGATAATCTGATAGCCCTTGCTGCTTGAAAAATAATACAAATGAACTGAGAAGCAAATTGCTTAAATCTGCTGAACACTTTTTGATACATCCATTTGGGAATTGTTTGTGATCCCACCAGTGCCTAGGAAATCTATTCCTTTTCCAAGCGCTGCCTGTCCTGGGCTTCTTGTCCCTTCACCTTGGTGCTTCCTTCCTCCTGTCCCCGTCTGAGATTTACCTCACCCTCAGGTATTTCCCAGGTTGGCACAGCTCTATATGTTTAGAGCTCAGTTTAGTTTAATATGAAGAGACTGTGAGTTTCATATTTGAATGTCTGACATGAGCAGGGATGTAAAATTTAACCCCAGTCTTTTATTCCTTAACAAAGAAGCAGAGGCTGGAAGGAGAGTGAGGAAGATAGTTTTCCTCTGGTTTTGGAGAAAAGGAACACAGCTAGAAACTGTTTATGTGGTCAGAGGAGTAACTTTACCTGAACTCCTTGCCAGACAAATCTCAGAATTGCATCTGTTGTTACTGAAACAAACTTGTAAAATATGAATATAGTGTGGAAAGGGATTTTTTTTTTTCCCTACTGTGGCCAGTGTGGCATTGCCACATTATTCTCACATCAGTGCCTGAAGCTCCATCTTGAATTATTTTTGTGTGTGCACATCCATCACTACGGATGGTCTTTCAGTATTGGGGGGTTCTAATTTTCATCCCAGCTGCATTTGTGGGCAGATGATACCCGTTTGGTTTTGTGCCGTAATTCTCCTCTAGCTCCAGAAAATCAGTGTGAGCATATGTTACAGAAGTTGTTTGGAGCCTGGCAGGACTAAAGTGGAAGATCTCAGGCCTGTGTATAAAACAGAAGACGGAGAAGTAACTTGATTAAGGTGTACAAGCATTTACAAAGAGAAAATATTTGGTGCTCAAGGAGAATTGATTCTAAAATCGAAGAGCAAAGCATTTCTACTAGATCACACCATCACTGTGTATGTTTCTGTGCTACAGGAGAGTGTAACAGGAGAATAGTAGCTTGAAGTTTGAGATGCTTGTGTTAGAAACTGGTCCCACTCACAGCTAAAGTTTCCTAAATGCCTGAACAAACTGAATTGAGGAGATAAGTTGCTACTGAGAAAATACTGATGTTCTAGTGGGATGACACAGTGCAAGTACCATGAGAACTGTCAACTTTTGTGCTTGGATAGTAAGTTTAGAATCTGACATTTTAATGGAAATTTAATGGCTTTCAGGTTCCAAACCAAAGGTAATAGTGGTGTGGAGGATCGCTGTTTTTTTTTTTGAGGTATTAGGATTTAGGAAAAGAGCTCTGATTGCCAAAGAACAGTAAATTCAGTTAATATAAATGCATAGGTATAGGTGTATATATATATTTGAACACTGCATGTAATTACCCACGTGTGGATTTTGAAGTGCAAGTCTGATTTGCCGTTAAAGATATTTTTTGAAATAGAATAGCTTTCTTCTGTATTTCATTTCTCTTTTGACAGCTTCTGGCAACTACAATAATATTGAATTTCACTTTCTTTTTTTTCCTGCTTTTAGAGGCTATTACATAATTGGGGCAGGGTAAGGGGTATTAGGCACAGCATGCAGGCTTAGAGTGCTTTTATTGTCAGAAAAATGACTCTAAAGGCAGCCCGTGGGGTCCTTTTATAATCCTTGCCAGTGAAATTTGTCTTTTTCCTGCTCGGTTTACAAGCCAATCAGTGGCAATTTGAAATGCTTTTCAGCATCTAAAAACTACAGTCTGTGATTTTGTGAGGGAAGTGGGAGAAAGCAGAGAGAGGACTTTGCCTGTTCCATGTCCCTCTGTGGTTTCGCACCCAGGCCAGTGAGAGCAGTCAGAGCAGGCCTGTGCTGTGAACAGGCTGCAGAAGAGCTCCGTGGAGAGCCAGGGCAGAAAGCTGAAGTGCCACAAGGTCTATCTGGCACCACATCCTGTCTTTACTGTCTCCAGCATATTTTTTAGATCTGTGCTTGCAGTCAGCACCATTAAAATCCTGATTGTCTAAGGAAATAAGGAAGTTGGAGGCTGTGACAAAGTGTGCAGGCAAGCTGTTCTACACAAATCAGGTAAGGAGAAGGAAAGTTATTCAATACAGTTCTGTTTTTGGTAGATTTCAATGGTGGCTGTAATTCACATTCCTGATGAGAGCTACAGACTGCCCTGCAGAATATTGTATCAGTATCTGCTCCTGGCTCAAGGTCAATACCACGATCTGAAGGTAAGCCACGTGCTGAGTCTCCTTTCCCTTGGGTGGCAGGGTTTAGTTTATGTAAGCTTTCAGGAGCCTAAATCAGTATGAGACTTTTAATGTTGTGCAAAGAACTGGATAATAGTTAAAATTATTTTATCAGTCAAGTAGTTGCAGCCAAAGTTACTTTACAGAAATATTTTATATGAAAATAATCAAGATTTCCAGGAGAAATTGCTTGATTCTCATCTAGAGGTCCTGCCCACTTACTAAAGCAGTAGTAAGACATTAACTAGCTGTTGAATGCTCCCTCCCTATAGAACACTTGTTGCCTCCTTCTTAGTCTCTCCAACCAGCACTTTCTCCTGTACTGCCCTTCAACTGGGAAAGCTTCAGAAGAAACTTTTAAAAAGAAAAATTTCTTTTTACTGTAGTACATGCATGAAGGTTGGGAATTGCCAGGCACAGGCTATGACCAGTTAAACCAGTGTTCTCACTACTCCATAGTCCAGTTTCTCTTATGTCTTGGGACCATCTTTCTCTTGTGTCAGGCAGTTAATGATGTGATTCTATGCCATTCACTTTTATATTACTGTGATAAAAAAATAATGTATGGTATTGATAAGCTAGAAATTGGGCCAAATTAATTCAGTCGACTGAATTAATTCAGTTTCAGTTCATTCAGAAAGAGATTTTTTTTTTTTCTGGAGAAAAGGTTGTCCTGGCCTTTTTTTGCTGACGTAGTTGGTCCAGGTAAACTTCCCTGTTGATCTCCTTGAGCTTTCTTTTCAGTTATGATTGCTGGTGCCAAAACACTGATTCAATGGAAGAGCAGTGGGTATGTAATGGTACAGGGTGCTGTCCATGGGCATCTTGGGCTGCATGGTTGTTGAGATGAGATCATGCCCAGGAGAATTTACACTTCCCATAGAATAAGAAAAGGAGGAGTGGGGGAATGTACTCTGAGCAAGAGTGGAATGGCTTGAGAGAAGTGGATCTAACAGCTCAGTGGATGTATTTTTGGTCGGAATGGATGGAGAGAAGCATCCATCTGGGCACAGAGAACGACACACCCGAAACAGCAACCCGAGCTGCTCAGAACCTGGGTAGTTCTACTAAAATTTATGCATGTATGTTGGTGGAATTCAGCTAAGATTTGATGATTTATCCTCAACATTTCCCTGGTGTTTTGTGTAATCTCATGCCTCTGAAATACCTCGAGCTGAAGGCGGGGTTGCTGCAGCGAGTCTGGCACTCTTTGAAGCCAGTGAATCTGACCCAGTGGAACTTGCATTGCGTGCGTGTGTGTGTGTTCAGGGAGCAGGATTTGATGACGTCTAAATGTTTGTGTGTGTGTGTGTATTTTAGCAACTCTTCATGTCTGCAAATAGTACTGCACCGTCTTCAAGTGAGACATCCCCTGGTGAGAGGAGCACTGACAGGAGCTTGCTAGAGAAGGCTGGACTGGCTGAAGAGGAACCAGAACTGCAGGAAGAAAACAGCAAAGACTGTGTTGTTTGCCAGAATGGTGCAGTGAACTGGGTCCTGCTGCCCTGCAGGCACACCTGCCTGTGTGATGGCTGCGTGAAGTATTTCCAGCAGTGTCCCATGTGTAGGCAGTTTGTTCAAGAATCTTTTCCACTTTGCAGCAAAAAGGAGCAAGATGAAGATGAATCAACCCTTATCTTGCAAGATGTTCTTCCCAGAAGAGGTTTTTAATAGGGGGAAAAATTAAAATACAAGACCTGGGTTGTGTGCAGCAGGATTAAATGCAGAAGACAGACTGTTTGTAAGGAGGATACGTGGCATTAATGTGTATGGTTTGCTTTTTACCGTTAGGTAATTTTCAGCATCCTTCTTTTTTTGTGCTCCATATGCTGACAGGAACTCTGTGCTCCTCCGTGCAATGTGGACAGGAGGATTGCGTAGGGAATCTTGGAAGGATGTGATTTTATTTATAACTTCTTACTACTTTTTCGTGGAGTACTATTGGAGGCTGTTTTGACTACTAAATTTAGTTTATCTACTAAAAAAAGACTAAACCTTGCAAGTGGAGTTGCATGCAGCTCATCCTATATTTATTTTATTTAAAGTACTAGAGCAATATATCATTTAAACTTGGTATGGTTTAGAAACATAGCACTTTATAGGATGTATCAAATGAAGGAGAGTAAATATTCTTCCCTGTTAAACCTGTGTACATTTATTTTGTAGATGAAGGCTGGGCTGTGTCAGGAGCTGGGGGTTGAAGGCATGATGCAGGACACAGTTTCTGGCTGGTTGGAAAGATCTCTGTGTGTGTGTTTGTGTGTGTGTGTGTGTGAGGGGCCTCAGCCAAAGCCTGTTGGAATGAGTGGAAAGATTTTTGTCAATTATTTTTGGCTTGAACTAAACATTGCTGATGCTTTCAAGCCCAAGCCTCTGCTATGTCATCTCGAGACAGACTTTCAATCTTGTTAGCAATGGCTGTACAGACTTGTTCTCCATACAAATGTTTGTTGATTGCTCCATGGAGTGGTTACTTGGGCAGTTTGTGGTAGTGTTCTTACACCAGCAGCCTGCTTTGGGCAACTGCCAGTTCTTTTCACTCACATTGTCAGCTTGGATGCAAAGTTAACCATTTAGCTTTTATCAATAGTCTCAAGGAATTTAGTTACTCTAATGAAGAAAAAAGCTAAAGAAAGCTGAGAATGATTTCTTTTCCCTTCCAATGGTGTATGGTCAAAAACAACAAAAATGGCTGTTGAGAAGAGAAAGTGGTTTATGTCCTAAAAGAGCTGAATTCTCCTGAAGACAGACAGGCTGAGTTTCACATCTGCTCATGTAAGACAAAAATACAACTGCTTGCTAGGACCTGTAGAAAATGGGGAGTAGCTGCTTTCTGTCCTCCCTCTTGTTCCCCATGTCCAGTTCCAGGACAGCTGCTCGGTGTCAGGGACAAAGCCGCTCTCCAAGCTGTCCAGCTGCACTCCCCACCAGGGAAGGAAGCTGCCCCCACTCAGAGGTGTTCCACCTTCCACACACTGGTAAAGACAGATGGAGGTTGGGAGTTGAGGCATGTAGCCACAGATTTCCAGCCAGTGATCAGCAGGATGTTTCTAAGACAATTTATCCGGTCTAGGCAAAGTGACCTTCCTTGCCAGGGATGACTTGGGAATAAACTGCTGGCCAAACTGGCCTTTCATTTGCACAGTGTCCCCAACAGGAATCGCATGCCCACGTGTCTGGGGGGACTGCTCAGTGATTCCAGAGAGCTTTGGAGGACGGGCAGTTCTGTGCAGAAATCCTTGTGCAGAGTGATGTGTGTGCTGCAATTCACGAGGCTGAGAACAGCCAGAGGAGAGCAGGGAAGAACCTAAGAGCAGGAGGAGTGATTGCTGGGGGCAGCGAGGCCATAGCCCAGGTGAGAACACAGTGCAGATGTGGAGCAACAACAGTGTGATGCAACTCCAGCAGAACCAGAGCTGCCTGTGTGAAGAGTAGAAAGACTGTAAGTAGCACACGGTGTCTTCACTAATCAGGATAAATCACAGAGGCATGGCCACAGAATCATAAAATAGTTTGGGTTGGAAAAGACCTGTAAGATCATCAAGTTCAATGATAAATCATAAGATAATGAAAACAAGCCATTTTTTCAATGTGTTAAATGCAGTGGAGAAGCTTAGAAAATTCAGAGCAAGAGAACACATGAGCTGTTCTCTAAGCAAAATAAACAGACTGCAGGAAGATAGCTTGGAAAAAAAAAAAAAAAGACATTTGGGAGTATGGGACAATATACCCACAGGCACAACTTAGGTATTTGTCACAGAGTTAAGCCTCCCTGTCTGGGTCACTAGCTTTATTCTGCCATGAAAGAGGAACAGCTGATGGGATGATGTAAATTGTTCTAGACCTCGGTGGGCTCTCAGAAAAATTAATATACAGACCAAATTGCTTGAGCCATGACAATAGGTGTTCCCATAGGAAACATGCCAGCATGTGGGGCAGGGGCTGTACAGCTCCTTCTTCCAGAGGAGCAGCTTGATGCTGTGCTGGTTCTAACCTGGAGCTGGGCACTGCCTGAGAGTTCTCAGGGACTTGCTTTGTCCATGTAGATGTTCACAAAGGTCTTGTTTACTCATTGCCCACAGTGGTCCCCAACATTCAGTCAGTTCATGAAAACTTCCCAACAAGATGATGTGTTCCAAGCTTCCTGGCCTTGTTAAATCTCAAAGTGAAATGGTATTCAAGTAAACCCCTCAGAGCATTGCCTGGTCTGCCTCACCCTTCAGCCAATTTCGCTGATGACACTAAGCTGGG